ATAACAAGGACGGTCCTTCCTAATGTTTTTTTTTCTTAGTAACAGAAAATAGTTTTAACTACACATTTTTTTTGGCAAATATCAAAAAAAAAAAAAAAATAATTGTGTATACTATTAGATTTATGAATACTCGATAACATTGTTTAATCAATTTTTCTTACCAATTGACATGTTGCAGACTCGTTAGCTATTAATGAGAATCTACTAATCCATGGTTTTACCTCAATTTATGTGAAAAAAGTTGATAAGCAAATATGGGAAGCAAGAGTAGCATTAACCTTTTATTATTCAGAAAATAAATAATTTGCCACAAATAGAAAACTTTCATTAATATTAAACCATGTTTGGATTATAAAAGTTTATATTCATTTAATGGCCTTTTTTAGGTCTATTTGAAAATCTTGTTAATTAGTACTTTCAATGTACAAACATATCAGTGTACTAGGTATCCTACTGAAATTAGATCTCTTATTGTACTGCCCTACAATCTCAAAGGGCATATACATGTTACTTTCTTTACAATGTAGTTTATTAAAATTGATGGGCTTTGGTTTAATGATACATCTTGTCTTCTGAAGGTTTAACTTTCTTAAAATCAAGAGTTCAAGTCCTCTGAGCCATAAAAGCAAGGTTGATCGGTAGAACGAATTTCAATTGTTTGGACGAACCGTATCTAAATCTCTGGTATGAGTTTGAATTTCCATCGAAATATAAGTCTTGATTTAACTGGTTTATGGGTTGAGGGATCTGTCCATGCACTCGAACAATATCCTCGGTTCTAATCGGGTTCACAAGTGTAAGTACAGAGGCCAGAAATTTCCCCGTCATCCCAAAAAAATTGTAGTTTTGTCATTTGCATTCAAATATTGTACGTTTTTTCATTTATATTCTTTTGGTAAGTGTGAAGTAATAATATATTAAAACTCTTAGATTTTGATCCAATTCCCTTAGAATTTCTATTATACCAAACTTGTAGAGAGAGACTTTCTCTCCCAGTAAAAACATAAATCGCAAGCAAAAAATATCATCCCTTTCTTTTCTTCTTCAATCAATTAAGATGTTAGTGTTTCTAATTTGTTCATATAAAAGGTTTAGAAAAATATCATATATGTTTTTTGGGGCGTTGTAGAGGTTTGTTGAATTGATGACATTTGTGACTTGACAGAAAAGTTCTTCATAGAGGATGAACAAATACTTTTGAGAATGCAACTTCAACTTTGTTAGTATGATATACTTATGAATCCAGATCTTCCGCAACAATCAAGTATTTCAGATTTATGTCTATGGTTGGTTAACGGTGCGAGGTAGATTTTATTAATTAAAAATTAAATTACACCTAACCAGGAGAACAAATGTACGTTATCTTTCGATGCAATCTAATTACATGAAGAATATTAAAATAAAGAAAGGCAAAAATGCATGCTTATTAAGGAATGGAAAAAATAAAATAAATCTAAGCATACTGCCTAAAAAATTAAATGGACCAGCTGATGTAATGTTGCAGAGAATGACTGTTCATGTCCCAGAAGTCCTGCAGTAGAGAAATATAGAGAGAGGGAGAACTGAGCACTGAAGGGAGGCCCAACTGACAGAAGATGCTAAGGCGTTGAGGATCAGCCCCCCACTGTGAAGCTGATACTGTCGTTGGAGTGCGACCTTGCAGAAAAGAACAAGGGAGAAAACATCCAGCCTTTAAATCCTATCTGCAGATGGAATCCACGACCATTTCATACTAACAGAAGACGTTGATAGCCAGCATCCATGAGATCCAAGATCTGAGAGATCGATCAATACTAATAAACCGCAAGGGAAGCCCTTTTGCTGAAGATTAAGAAGGTGAGTACCAGAGAATTCTTTTCTTAAAATGCAGTCTGCTAGTAAATGTAGAATTCCTCTGCTTTCTTCTCTTGACTTTCTTTGAATGCAAATATATGTGGATGTAAATGACCAATAGCACCAGTAAATTAGAAAATCAATCCCAATCATCAGGACATTGAGCAAACTTTCTTTCTTAGCACTCTTAGCTTCCTATCATCTTGAAGCATTAAGAGTCTTGTTGAGGTAGGGAGTTGATCCGAGGTGGAATAAACAGAGGAGGCTTGATCAGAGACTCCTTTATTCGCCAATGAGTCTGCCACAGAATTGCCCTCTCTGTAGATATGTTGGATTTGAAAGTTAAACTTGGAGAGGAGAGACATTAATTTGTACGATAGAGGCCAAAATTTCCAGGAGATGCTGCAAGATTGATTAACCATATTCACCAAAATCTGTGAATCAGTTTCAATAAANATGTAAATGACCAATAGCACCAGTAAATTAGAAAATCAATCCCAATCATCAGGACATTGAGCAAACTTTCTTTCTTAGCACTCTTAGCTTCCTATCATCTTGAAGCATTAAGAGTCTTGTTGAGGTAGGGAGTTGATCCGAGGTGGAATAAACAGAGGAGGCTTGATCAGAGACTCCTTTATTCGCCAATGTGTCTGCCACAGAATTACCCTCTCTGTAGATATGTTGGATTTGAAAGTTAAACTTGGAGAGGAGAGACATTAATTTGTACGATAGAGGCCAAATTTTCCAGGAGATGCTGCAAGATTGATTAACCATATTCACCAAAATCTGTGAATCAGTTTCACTGAAGACTTGATAAACCTCCAATTCAAATTGCAGTAATAATTCCAAGCCATCAATCAACGCCCTTAGCTATGCCTCCATATTCGTGCAGCGTCCATAATAAAAAGAACCACCCAAAACAAACTGGCCCCATTGATTTCTGAGAACAGCACCTCCACCTGACTGCCCAAGATTTCCTTTGGAGGCTCCGTCAGTGTTTAGCTTTAGTGAGCCATGAATAGGGGTAGTCCATCTAACCCATTTCACCTTTACTGTGGGTGCCCATGCTGGGGATACATTGATAGAGTGAAGTAGAGTAATGCATGCAGGAGTGTCCACTGCCTTTGGCCTTACTCTATTTGCCTGCAATCTACAGAGATTCATGATCGTATGAAAAACCTTAGATGGGTGAAATTTTTGACCCTCAAACCGCCTCCTGCATCTTTCTTTCCAGAGCTGCCAATAAACAAGTAGAGAAATACCCCTTATCAATGAATGACTAAGAGAGGGATGCTTATAGATCCTGACTAGTCGCATAAATCTAGTCATTGGCTCCTCATCTGCAATAATCTGGAATCCCATGACTTGGGAAATCCTTGACCAAACCTCACGAGCATAACTGCAGCTAATGAATATAGGCTTGATGTTTTCAGAGGCTGCACAGCATAATGCATATCTACTGACCATAGAGACCCCAACCTTCTGAAAAGTAGAGTCCATAGGCTGTATGTTGTGAAGTATTTTCCAACCCACTAACTGAGCACTAGGCGGAGATACCTGCTTCCAAATTGTACCAGCGTGAACATTAGGCATACCAGAAGTTCTAATGAGTTCCCACGCAGTGTTAACAATAAAATTCCCAGTTATAGATGAGTTTATCCCATCTATCAGTCAGTTGTAGCTGAGTAGAGAGGATTTCTTGGAGTATGGAAGCATCCATAAACTGAAATAGCCTTCCTGGTTCCCAGCAATGATTAACCAGAACCTCAGAGAGCTTAGGATATTCAAAAGGAGCAGAAGTGGCTCTCAAGATAAGTGGACGCTTACCTATCCAATTATCACACCAGAAGTCCACTGCACAACCTAACCCCACCAAGAACTTAGAATTTGCAACAGTTACTTCAAAATAGGGAACCAAGTAGTTAAAGGACCTGGAAAATCACTTCTTCATGTTCGTTAGGATATGCTTATCATGTAGATACGTAGCACTAAAGTAAGAGGACAATAAGGAGTTACCTTGCAGGAGCTGCCAGACCTGTTTCATTCTGATAGTTTGCTGCACTTCTTCAAATTTTCTTTTGCCCAAACCCCCTTCCTCTTTAGGCATAGAAATATCCTTCCAAGATCGCCAATGCCTCTTATTCACTCCCTGTTGACCAGACCAGAAAAAGGAGGCCATAATGGCATTTAATCTTGCAATGATCTCTTTGGGCAGATTTAAAACTGATAGAAGATGAACTGGAATAGAACTCAGCACTGATTGAATAAGAACAGTTCTTCCCATGATATAATCCATTCATTTCTTGGTAGATTGATCAGACTTGTATTTACACTTCTCTTTTCTATTGCAACTACAAAACGTGGTTTTTCAGTCATGAACAGCTGAACACTGTCAAAACTAAGCTTTGCAAAAAGATGAAAGATGATTTTCTTGAAGACTCTTTTATTGTATATATAGAAAAAGAAGTTGCTAAAATTTTTAGCATAGATTCAATGGTAGATGGTACCATTTTAATAAATGAGTAGGGGACATTTCTTAAACATTTTCAACTTCATGGGGATCAAAATCATATATAAGACCTGGAAAAACAAGTACTTCATATCAGAGTTGCCTTGGCAGTAAGGTTTAGTGCCAAAATTTACAAGTACTAGAAATCTATTGAAGAAAATAGAAACAAGACAATCAACATTACAATTTGTAGCAAGGGTCGGGTAGTCGGGTAGAAGAAGTCGTTAGTTTTTTATGAAAAGAATTCCAGAGATCAGGGATCTCAAGGGAAGACTAATTGGTTAATGCAAGAATACACAGTTAAGCCGCAAAATACTCCGAGTAGGGCTTCAGGTGACATGAAGGTATACAATAATTTTACTTATGTCTAACTGATTCAAAAATTTATAGCTCTAAAGTGGAAATTATTGATTAGCCATGATTTGTTTTCGTTTTTTGAAGATCCATTGCATACATGTTATGGATTAAGTGATTAACCAACAGTTTAATAGAGTAGCTCATAGCATTGTTTTTTCCTATAGTTGGACGATTTGGTGTTGTGCAAGATCTATCAAACGACAGTGAAGCCCAAGAACAACCCACAACAAGATAATGGAGAAAAGAACCTGATGAAACAGTGGTAGATCTAGCTCTGCAGTCTCATTTCAGCCAAGAATCCATGCTTCCACTTCTTCAATCTAGAGTGGACAATATGCTCAATGATGCGGCTTTACCACAAGGTGTTGATGTGGAGCCACTTGAATTTTCGGTCGACGACTGCCTATATGGAGACTTGGTCTATGACATGGCTGAAGAAACCAGGGGCAGCCCAAAACAATGGGGCCTAAAGCGACTATTACAAATGAGGTTTTTTATTTTCAATATGAATAATTTTTTATTTAAAAATTATTTTTTTAGACTAAAAGTAGTCTAATCTTTATTGTGATAATTGATCCTAGGAAAGATTTTATCAATTTTAATTTTAAACAATCATAATCTATTGATTTTAATTTTTATAATTTAATAAAAAATATTATAGTTTATTTTTCATAATAGAAATAAAAAAAAATTCGTAATACAAAAGAAGAAGAAGAAGAGAATTTGTATTTACTAGAGGGAGAAGAGTGAGAGGCAGAGTCTTAGTTTACTAGAGAGAAAGAATGATTACAAATGAATTGTACATTTTGGTTGAGTAGTTAAAATTATTTTTTTAACCCTTAGATTTTTCTTTAAAAAAATATATATATTATTATATTTTTAATAATATGGGTTGGGTTCATGAGCCCAAACTACTCAATTTTTTTTTTTGATTAAATTTAAATTTTCATAAGACTTTTTTTAAGGCCTAAAATCTTATGGATTTAAAAATTTTGATTTACACTAATTATGCATCTAAAAAATTTGGGGTCTTCTTGAAATGTAAAGGTGTTCAAATTTTCGATTAGTCTCAATTTTCTACTCTATCCAACCCTACCTTACTAAACGGTTAACTACAAAAATCGGGTAAGAATGCGGAAGAGTTTTTGGTATTTCGATTAAATCGGGTATAAATGCGGAATATTCATCAATTTTCGCATTCCTACCCTATCCTACCCGCAAAAAATATATTTAACTTTTTTATATTTTTTTTAGTAATTATAAAAGTATTTGTGTGGCATAATTTATATTATAACATTATCATTATTATGGATGTTTGAGTTGTTAAAATATGAACTTATTTTTTGGGTAGGTTACATGATTTGTGGTGAACTAGTGATCTATTGAAGCAGTTATGATTTTAATATATTTCATATAGTTTAAACTTAAAATAATTGTTATTATATTTGTGTAACAATTATGATTGAGAGATGTTTGTGTTTTCTTGTGTTTTATTGTAATTGTTGTTATAGTTATTTTAGGTTTTATTGTTATTAATTTTGTATTGTTAAATTGGTGCATGTTATTTAATTAAATTATTAAAATAATCAAAAAATTAATAATTACAAAAGTGTTTATCCGACTTCCTACCCGATTAATCGGGTAGAAATACCACACCTGATCGAGTAGGGTGACCCAAGAAAAAATTATTTCGCAAAATATTGGATAGGAAGACGAAAAATTATATTTCCTACCCGTAAAATAGGATAAACACCCCTATTGAAATGTGGGGCCTAAAGCCCAGACTTTGTTGTCCTTGAAATAGGGCCGGCCCTGGAAGAAACGCAAGGTGGGCTCAACAATAGAGCCAAAAAAAAAAAACATGAGTTTTAGGCCACACATATAAAAGAGACCCGAAATTTTAGAGTTCAATAATGAAATATAGATCAAAAATTAAAATTCATTATAATTTAGCTTAAAAAAAAAACTCTTAAAAGATTACGTCAAAAACTTAAAATTTAAAATTTATGTCCAAAAGTACAGTCCACCTCACACAATTTATTAATGGACAAAAAAAGATTAACACTTCAACAAAAAAGTATAATAAGCATCTCTCTTCCGAAAAAACACCGTTTATTAAACCTTGATTTTGTTTTTATTTAAACATAAAAATACCAACTAATTAAATTGTTCATTCTTATAAAGGATCCACAATAAAAAATAATTAATATAAAAAAACTTAATAAAATTGTTATCAGAGAAAATAAAACACAACAAAATAGTAGGTGAATGTTGCAAACATAAACAAGTTAAGAATTATATAAAAAAAATTAAAAAATAGTAAAATAATATATTTTTTGAACTTGATAAAATAATTCAATAACAATATAACAAGGAATTATGAATGTATACTAATAGTCAATCATGTAATATCACAATTTTAATGAAAAACATACAAAATAAATTAATAAGAAGAATATAAAAATAATAATGAAATAATAAACTGTATTCTAAAAAGTGCGGGTCAAACAAGAGATGAGAGAGACAAAAAGATGTACGGATCTGTTTGTTAAAAAATATGTATTTAGTAATGATAATCTATGTACATTTATAAGTCCTATGGATATTAGTATTGAACAATTTCACGGAGAAAGCATGAGTATGAAATAACACACATGTATTGTGTAATATATATTAGATTCCTAAATTACTAAAAAAAAAAAATATATGTGACACCACATTGTAATATTGAACATCTTTAATAGTACCGTACAATGATCAATGAAAAAATGCATAAAATATAAAATAACACATTATTTTTAATCATTGTGCGTCATCTAGTATTCAAATTTGTCTCACTTAATCGATTTCATGGACGAAGATTTGACAGTGAGAAATGAGCAAAGACTACAACTTTTGTAAGATGCACATATATTTCAATCTTTTAAATAGGATGAGACACAGTCGGGCCGGTCCTAGGGCCCGAGCATTAAAATAGTTGCTTAGAGCCTCAAAAATTTAGAGATCCAATTTAATTTTCAGTCTTTTGTTTAACTTTATGTTTGGAGGCCTTTTTGAAAAGATCAAGTTAAAGGTGAAATATATTTCACAAGTCTATCTAAAGTCTTATAGAAAATCCAAAAATGTAACAATATTTTCACAAATCTATGTAAATCTTTATAGAAAGTTATAAAATATAACAAAATGTTATAAAAAAATCTAAAATTAAGGACTTCTGACTTTAAAATAGCAATCTCTCTTAAATGTTTTTCATTAATTTTTCCTCCATTCTCACCGCCTCTCTCCAACTCTTTCTCTCCCTCTCAGACTCATTATCTTACTCTGGTTTTTTGTCCATATTTTTAGCTATCTTGTTGTTTATTTAAGATTTTATTCGATTTTATTCAATTTATTCATTTATATGATCATGACTTTACAATTGCACCTAATTTATTGTTTGATTCTGCCAGATCCAAAACCACTAAAACTTTAAAAATAAATCATACCATAAATCTCTATAAAATATTTTCTCATTTCAAGACCCAATTTGTGTTGGGCTGCCCTTGTAGAACTGGTGACTAATGCTGCAGATATGCACAATGATGTGGTGCTACTAAAATGTACGATGATACAATGTCGAACGTTGTAATTAGGCACAATAATGTGGTTCCTAATGTTGCTGCTCAAATGTCCGATGAAATGGTTCTTAATACTGTCCAAATGTTTGATCATATGGTGCCTAATGTTGCATAGATAAATGCTCAAATCAAAATCTTAGAATTTTCAACTCCATGGGGTCAGATCATATATAGGAACTAGAAAAACAAATGCTTTGTAGAATTGCCTTGGTTGTAAAGGTTTAGTGTCAAAATTTTCTAGGAAAGAGAAAGGGAAAGGGAAAGGAAAAGGAAAAGGCAGAGGAAAAGGAAGCAGAACCTCTGGTCAAAACTAACTGCATGATGCATGAAAATAGTTATGGCAAACGAGGTGATCCACGTCCAAGAATGGATCCTAATGACAAAGAGGTATATACTCTTCTTTTTCAGCCAAATTATTCAAATTAGTGGGCATGGATCCTCAAGGTCACGTTAGATATGAGTAAACGTCATGAATTAGTCGTGTCGTGTCGTATCGAATTTGTGTCATGATAAAGTTTGTTTATTTTTTTTCCAATTCATAGTTCATGATAAAGTTTATGAATTAGGCATGGATCCTCAATTCATACGTAAGCAAATTTATAATCATGTATAATTTGGATCATTTTGTGTTGAGCTTATGTCGTGTATACTCCGTGTTTAGGATCTTGATCTCCTCATACACATTTTTCATCAACTTCTTTCGGTAAATCATTCTCCATGAAATAAAGTAGGAACTAGTTATACTATATGTGAACTATTTATCCTATTTTACACCATTGCATGCATATTATAAAAAATAACCAATAATTTTTTATTTTTTTTGTTCAATGGTCAGACATGTTCAGGTCAGTTTACGTGATTTTTCAATTTGTCCCTCTTACTACATGAGCTATCCTATTACCTATAATTTAGCAATAACTAACTACTTTTTTTTCTTTTGCTTGTAGTTGGATTAGTGGATTTTGTGCAAAATGTACGAAAAAGCAGCAAGTAAAGCCAATAGAGAACAACGACACGGGGATAATGAAGGGGTAGTTCTACTTCCCAACGCAAATGCACAGCCAGTTCTTGTTCAAGACCCTCAGTTTCCTCCTCTTCCACCAACAACTTTCTACACCATGTCCAGTGCAATGCTTACTTATCCAAGGTATGGATATGGCTCTGGTGTTCCCACCGATGGCGTGGCTTTACCCAATGGACTCAACGTTGGTTATCCTTTATTGCTTGATGACATCTCAGATTATCTCGCGTCATTAGATTCATTGGTTAGAGACGATGATGACATGATGTCGGCGTTGTCATCTAATACCACGCATCCAGAACTATCTTCTGATGATAATAAGGGAGGTCCTTCCTAATTTTTTTCTTTCTTAGTAACAGAAAATAGTCTTAACTACACATTTTTTGGATTCAAATACCAAAAAAAAATTTTTTTGTTTCTTATTAGATTTATCAGTACTCGATAACATTGTTTGATCAATTTTTCTTACCAATTGACATGTCACAAATCCGTTAGATATTAATGAGAATCTACTAATCCATGGTTTTACCTCAGTTTATGTGAAAATAGTTGATAAGCAAATAATGGGAAGCAAGAGTAGCATTAACCTTTTTTTATTCAAAAAATAAATAATTTGCCACAAATAGAAAACTTCCATTAATATTAAGCCATATGCTTGGATTATAAAAGTTTAAATTCATTTATCGGCCTTTTTTAAGTTTGTTTGAAAATCTTGTTAATTAGTACTTTTAGGGCTCGTTTAATAGACGTATTATGAGGGGATTAAATATTAGATTATACTATTTTTTTATTTAATCGGGCCTAATACTTTGTTTGGTAAGTAAATTTGATACTGTATTAATTTCAAAAACGTATGTTAATGGTATACTTATCGTATATTTTTTATACGTTAGACATGTATTATAAAGGTATTTTAATACCACCAAAAGAGGTGGTATTATAATTCAACTTAAACGTATTATTTTATGTATTTACCATTATAATTCCCAACTGATGAAATCAATCTATCATCAATATAACAAACATTGATCGATGATATTTTTGTTAATTCAACATTACTAGGATAAAATAATTTCTTCACCAAACAACCGATTAATGATCGGTAGGACGAACCATGCTTTCTTAATGTTAAGCTGCTTTTGTGTGAGTATGGACTGCTGTGTGTGTGCGTTTGAGCTTTGTGTGAAGATCACAAGAGACAGAGAAAGAAGAAGCGCAGGAGAGGAAGAAGATGAGAGGGGTGGGTTTCATCGGGTGTTGGCAGCAAGGTATGGTTGGGGTAGGCACTTGTGGGTGAGGGGATGGGGGGTTACGTCACTGATGGAGTTGATATAGTGGTTGGAGGCAGGTGGGTGGGCAAGGTGGTCGACCGGTGCGATGGTGGCTTTGAGGAGGAATTGGGGTTGAGAAAGTGGTGGGGTTATTTATAGGTGTAAGGTTGTTTGCATAGGAATTGGGGCAATTCTACGGTTGGAATAAGTTTGTCCAAGGTTAAGTTTATTAGGGTTATTGGTAAGGATTAATTAGTCTTTTCAGAATTTTTATTTGTGCCGTTTGCAAAATGTCGTTGAAAGAGGGTGGTGTTAGTATAAATTATCATACCTGAGGGGTTTGTGTGTATTAATAATAAATTTCACGAGGTCTGAATGTAATTTATCCTACAAAAAATTCATTAACGTGGTAAATTTGTTTTGTTTTTACCAAAAGTTTAAAATTTTAATACTCAGTAAAAATGGTGGGAGTGTTTCACTGTTTTTTTAAAAAAAAAATTAAATTTGAAATAGTTAGCTTATGGTTGACATCTCACATGCGGTGCACCTGAGTTGAGACCTTTAGTGTTTAGAGGGTAAAGTTATAATTTTTAAACTTTTTCAATGGTCAAAATAATATTAATACTATATTTGCAGACCAAAATCCTAATATCATTTAGTTTGGGCACATTATTATTAGTGTTTGAAGGTTTAAAGTAAAAAATATTTCAAAGAGCAAAGTTTATTTAGTCAGTTATTTTCTTTTTGCCTTTTTCATGTCCATAGCCATAGGTTCACGCAAAAGACCTTTTCTTTTCAAAATTATTACTAGGAAAGATTGAATATAGTTGTTTTGAATTTTATTTGTCCTTTTTAAAAAAAAAAAAAAAAACAGAATAATTTTAAACATATCATGGACTATCTTTTGGTCACACCACTTTCTAGACGAATACCACCGATCAATTTTGTAAAATTTTCTGCAAATATGATAAACTTGTACCACTGCTGAAAAGTCCAAGTCATAATTAAAATAAAATCTCACCACCACCCCTGTTTTTAGCAACAAACAGAAATGATACTAAAAACCACCACATTTTGTCAATTTCTTACTTTACACATCCAATCCATTCCTTAAGATAAATCTTCTTCTTCTACTTCTTCTTTTTTAATGCCCTGTCCCAAATTTCAAGTGGGTAACCTCACCCTCTAAAATCGTCACTCTTTTCTGCCCAAGTAAGAACTCCTCCTGAGCACCCATGAAGAACCCTAAAGTAAAATTTTATTTCATTTATTTTTTAATAAAGAAAAACAGCTTCGTTGACTTTAGAATGACAAAATTGGACTCAGCTGTCCTTTTAACTCTTTTCATTCTGAACCACGACCATCGGTCTTTCCATACGTTGTGTGCGAGAAACATGTTTCTCCGTTGGTAAATTTGGCATCAGCCTTCAACCCTACACACCAAATGTAAAACAATTCTATGATGTATTTATGAACTGAACACGCTGCAAACTGCAAAAAAACCACTGATCCAAATCCTGGCTGACCCCACAGCCGCATTACAAGATCATTTAACTAAGCTTTTCTCTATGCACATGCATCACAAACTGTTAATAACGGCCCTTAAACAACCACTGATGTACTTCTGCAAATGAAAGACCATATAACTTTCTGGTCAACAGCAAGAACACCTAGGCCTCTCCCCAAATCACTATCGGGGCTAGGACAATGCACCTTAATCCACATAAGGGTGCAAGAGATACCACTTGAACCAACAGCCAGTGTTATGAAAGACCAAAATTACAATTACTCTTAGGAATACTAACAAGTTTATCTCCAACAAGAAAATTCACAAAGCTAGAAAAAACTTTGACAAAGCAATTTAGCATACAGAGAATAACCCATTATTTACACTTTTGATGGTGCCAATCCCAAAGAGGGATATGTATCTCATAGCTTCGAATGCCAGCAATGCACCCTAAGTGAAGCATGCCAATTACTTGGACAATACCGCGTAACCGTGGTGCGTAATGCATACGAATGTTGTAAGTTTCTCATCCACCAACCCTTTTTTCTTCCTATAATCTAGTTTTATACCTTCTCATCCATAAACCCATTATTCTTCATACAATTTACTTATATACCACAACACTTATCCATTAGATAACTAGCTTCAGATATGTCTTTCCTTTTTCGGGTAAATCTTTAGAAAAGTCTTCGACAACATTATATCCACTCAACTGTATTGGAAATCTGAAGAAACAAGCTAGCCTACAGAATCCTAATCACCTCAAGGAAATATCACCAAGTTTGGGTCTAGCTCAGGTCATCATGTTTCAGACAGATATGCTTATAAATTCAACATAAGCACACAGACTATGTAAAACTCCCTTTTGAATATCGGCTGTAATAAAAAGAGTGAAACAGATCACATATTGAATGAATAAATCCTAAACCTGGAATGCCGCACAAATGCAAAGGAGTTTGACAGTAAGTATAACTTGATGGCCTCAACCACCTATAAACAAGAAAGCTGGTAAAAGACAATAAAAAATGAAATTATATTGATCACCAACTAAAAAAGTAGTAAAGAAAGAAAATCCACGATGAACACAAGCTATTCAAAGGTCGATCAGAGGTAATAGACTCATTCAGGACACGAGTGTCTAAAAATGTTTTGTAGGGTTTGAAACAGTAAATTGTGCTGCTTAACTGTCAAACTTCTATGTACTCATAGAGTTACATTCAACCCATTTCTTTTAATAGTCAATCATAAAATAGAGATTGATTCACATTCCTCTCCATTCAGATAACAACAGAAAGGAAAATTACAGCCCCTCTTGCATTACTAATAATTCCTCAGATAACATAACACAGTACTAGCTCTTGATACTCAGAAAGTGAAGCATAGACGGGCACTTAGAAGCAGAGGACTATATCCACTTGCAGTTAATGCCTCGAGCCGGGGGTTACCCAAATTAAATCCTTATTAAAGGCGACTAGAATGTGGACACATCATTACCAATAGACCTTTGGTCTAATGGTACTCCTTACCTTGTGAAGATTTTGCCTTCTTGAGGTCAAGGGTTGAAACTCCTTCCCCCGTCCCTCTCCCCCCAAAAAAAGAAATAAAAAATAAAAAAAATGTGGACACATCACACCTAAATAAAAAACTATAATTAAATAAAATCATTTAGCTCAATAAATTTGAGGATAAAGTATTGTTGGTAGGGATTCTTACAAATGCAAGTGAAATTCCATCTCCAATCTAAAAGCGATATAGAAAGCTACTAGGAGATCAAGTTTGCAGCTATTACGAAATTTAAGATATTGCACGTCAAGGAATGTCCAAGTGGAAAAGAAAGAGATGGAGAAATGGAACTTTTAAAAGAACAAAGTCGAAGAACATTATTTGAAGTACCTAGCTTATAATAGAACATACACAATTAGCCAAGAACTCCTGAGACGTGTTGAAAAGAAACATCAACTTCTTGTGCTTGATAGTCGAAATGGTCAACCTAAGAGGACGCAAACATTCAAACCTATTTACTTATCTAAACGAAGATGAGAATTGCACCCTTACCGTCCGTTAACATTGCTACTTCATTAAAATTCAGCACTAAAGAGCAGCCTCTGATAGCAAGAAAACTAGCCAAAGCATCGACAATCCAATTGTTTATTTTCTTTTTTTCACTTTTTTTGACAAGAAATACTGAGATTATTGTCAGAATATGGGCCCAAAGTACAGGTGACAAAAAAGGCAGTAGTTGCTACATTCATCATATCAAGGATGCAAGTTCAAATGCTCAACTCTCAGATCTTACACCAAAGATGACAATCTAATATTCAAAATTAGGGCCATGAGTTTAGGGAGCAGCATAACTATTGCCGAAATTGTCAATCTCATATCAGCTTGCAACAGCGCAATGTGAATGCATACTGAAACAAAATACATCTTTTTGAATGCAGACTACCTTTAATAACACACAGAGGTCAAGACAAGAGTAACATGCAATTATTAGTTACAACTAATTACTGATTAGCAGCAATTTTAGTTTTCTCACCCTTCTATCTGTTGCAGGACATATAGAACACAGATTTGCTGTGTAAACGCTCAGCACTTAACGGAGAAACAAAAAACAGCAATCCTTGTAGGCATGTAAGACAAACAAATGCGATAGGGAGAAAACACAAATGCTCAAGAATGCTATGGGGAGAAGTAAACATTCATAGAAATGAACTGCATTATGCTACCCGATTGACAAAAATGTTCAGAATGGGAATCCTTTATGCAAGTGTTTTTTGGAGGATTCTGCCAAACGTCCAACACCTTTTGCATTTGTGTAATATTCCATCAACTCATTCGCAAAATCCTCTTGGTGACATCCGACAAATGCCCCAACAAAACGCTTATCTGTCATCCTCAATGCCCTCAACATTAAAGGTCCCTTGATTTGTGGGACAAGATCCATATCTTGTAGCTTCTCTTCTAGAAGAACTCGTGGCTTTAACACGGCCTCCAAATTGTAGAAGAGCAAAAATGGCCTATCAAGCACCACTTTGGCCGGTAACTTCATCATACTCAAATCAAAAGTCATGTTTCTCTGAACCTTGTCAACGGACAGCATCAACACGAGAGGAGAGCGTCCAAAAAGCTGCAAAACCTCATCATCCGAAAACCCACATTTCTCAAGATTTACCATCTTTTCACGGATGATCTTGAGGTGTGAGATGGCAATGAGGGTAACTGTAATACTCAGGAAAAAAAAAATTAATAATAAAAATAAAAGTGTATATGTTGAATTTGAGAAATTGTAGAATTTTATTGGGCTTGTGGTCTATCCTTTTGAGCTTGTGGATATGATTTAACTCAATTTAGTTTTTGGTGCAAAGGAAAATATCAGATAATTATAGAGACTTAATCAGATAGAGTTTTAGAATCGTAGAATTGATTGTACACTAGTTTTTTATTGCTAAGGGGATTTTAGTGTTATTTAGAATAGTTGACTCCTACATTTTATATCTAAATGAGTTTCCTTGTTGCCCTAAACATCTATTAATATATATATTCTCTTTCCATAATAATACTTACACACACATTAGAATAAGAGAAATGAAGGAAAGACTAGGGTTTCAAGTAAAGAAAAAGAAAGAGAAAGAAAGAAGACATATAAAGAGAGAGAAGGGGGAAAAAGAAAAAAAGGGACTTGAATTCATCCATGCATTTATTATTTAATTTATGGGTTTTATATTCTATTCAATTACATAGTATTAAAGTTATCAATAGTGATAAAGAATATTTTATATATATATATATGTTAATGGTGACGAATAATGATGAATGTATAAATGAGTTTTATTAGAGGTTGTTAATTTAAGTGTTTTGAAACTTAATATAGAATTATTATTTTTGAGACTTTTCAAGAATTTGTTTAATATCTTACAAAGCAAAAACGAAAACAAAGGGAAAAAGGTTCTGCCACCGGAAGAAGACCCCCAAATCCCAAAAAAAAAAAATTTATAGAAAGCTACCCTTTAGTTTCAAAGAGTTTTATTTTGACCCATTTATTCTTCTAAATTTAATGTTAAGTACCTTTTTACTTGGTAAGTTGCAAGAACAGAATTCTAGAAAATTTATGGCAAGCTCGAAAACAGAAAATTAGTTTTTCAAGAAAATTACACTTTGGCCCCAAAAGTTTCAAAAATTATGATTTGACCCTAGAACTTTAAAAACTTTTTCCAAATAGCTCAGAATACTTCCATACCCTGTTACCTCGTATTAGAAAGGATATTTATATGTAAAAGATATATTAAGTATATATCAATAGGTGAAAAGTATAAAAATTAAATATAAACTCGTGAAACGACGAGGTTAGAAAAAATGATTGACTGTTATATGTTATTTTGGATTATGTGGTAATTGCATTGAGGTTGAAAAATAGTGTTTTGAATTAGATTTTGAAAATCAAGGTGAGTAGTTTATTACTTTTTTTGGAAGGATTTTCTATATTAAACTTATAGGTGCGTGTGTGTGAATTTTTCATATATATGATATATGTTGATGTTTGGGGTTGCAATTAAATGTTTTTGCAATTGCGAATTGTTACACGTGTGAATTTGTAAAACTTATGAGATGATTTTATATTATTTCTTAAATGATTTTGGTGATGAAAGAGAAATTTTGTATGCGATGGGACTAAAACAACAGTTTTAGTATGTGCGTTGAAATCATGTTTTATGAGAAGGAGACTGGGTTACCAGGTTTAAATGGTAACGAGATTGTATACCGGCGTGGTCGGTATAGGGATGTGCACATAGGGGTCAATTATCAGACTAATGATAACAAAAAACGGGGTCAGTCATCAAGCTAGTGATGACAAGAGATGAGACCAGTTATCAGGCTAGTGGTAACAAACATGATTTGACAAGTGTATTTGAGACTGAATGTGTCTGTGAGTGTTTTGAGCTATAAATGTCTTTTCTTTTTTAAAGTTATTATGATCATAAGATCATTTTGTTTACATGGTTATGTGAAAGGGATTGAGGTACAATTTATTGTATTTATGTATATAACAAAGTTTATTTCTGTGTATATAAAATGTGGGATTTATTTTCAAACCTCATTAGAGGTGGTTGTTACTCACGGGCCTTTGTGCTCATCCAAATATTTAACATTTTTCAGGTGAGGATTAGGAGAAAGAGTAAGTCCTCTGATAGACAAGGGATTAGAAGAATCGAAAATTTATTTTATTGTAAGTCTTCAGGAATAAATATTTTTTTATAGTTTTTGGACAAGTATTCGATTGTTTTGAGAACAATGTTGTTTTTGCTTAGAATAGTGAACCTTATGAATTAATTATTGTTTTATATGAGTTTAGTAATAATATTGGTGATGTTAGTTTATTTCTCTGGTATTCATTAGGTCGGTGAAAATGATCACTTTATTATTTGTCTTTCGCTGTATTTTGTATTAATTATGTACAAGAATAATTAATTAAGACCTTAGTGGTCGGTCCGTTGCTCACCCTGTGTGATACGGGGCGGAGGTGTGACAGTAACCACATATTTATACATCTTGGAATCAGGAGGGACATTGGTTCTGCAAATGTAATCCATCTTTTCGGCATTTAGTTTAGTATGGGGAATTAAGGTGGGACGAGAGAGAAGCATAGGAACCAAGTCGGTTCTCCTAACACCTATACTGTCGTACATGGCAATGACAGGTTTGATTTTATTGTGCAAGTCATAAATGAGAAGAGAAGGGTGGCGATTAATGGCCATAAGAAGCATTTCCCTTGACCCAAAAGGATTGGAGATATTGAAGGCGCTCATCCAAGTCTTGATTAATGCAACAATTGAGGAAGCGGGGGCGACAATTGATGATCTTGACGAGGTCGAAAGAGGTGATGCCCATTTCAGTAAGCAAGTTGAGCTTGGATTGGAGGTTAGCAAGGTCCATGTTACGAATAGAGGGTCGTCTGAGAAAAATTCTGGATATATTGTTGTCACTGCAACCCCATCTTCTGAGAATATATGTGGTATCCTTTGGTTGATCACAACAAGGAGGCCCTCCTCCTATTTCTGCCTTTGCATCTAGGGTTTTAGTGGCAGATACAGCCGCTCTAGTACAAAATAGGCGATAATTTAAGAATGGTGTGTTTGGAGTGGAAGAATGGAAGGAGGAGGAATTGAAACTCCGAGATACTGAAAAAAGGAAGCGGAATTGGATTATAGCATTCAATTTAGCTATCATATTAAGCTGCAATGGGCGGGCAAATCACTAGTATTGAGTATCTCTATCAACTGATTGATAAAAACAATATCTGCGTCCGTGTACTGGTGAGTGTGTGCGTTTCCCTGTCTGTGTGTGCATGTCTCAGTTAGAGAACACAGGTAGAGAGCAAGTGCGGGGGGGGAGAGAGAATTATAGGATGCTCAGAAGGACGTTTTGGAAAGGAAACAAACGACGTCGTTTTGCTCAATTTACATTAAAAAAAAAGATTAATTACATAGGTTCTCAAAAATTTATCTCATTTTAGTCTCCAATGTTTCAATTGCATTTTTTTAGTCTCTAAAGTATTGAATATGTTTTTATGTGATCTTTCAAACAGACAACATCTAAATTGCTAATAATTTTTTATTATAAACTTGTGAGGTGATACCGAAATATGAAAAAAAATAATAATTTGAATAACTTTTAATCAAATTTTTATTCAAAATTTTGGTCAAAAAACTACCCAAATTACACAATTTTAATTATGAGGTATTTAAATTTTAGTAATGAACTACCTATATTATACATTTTTTGTCAAGAGCTTTCTAAATTTTAGTTAAGAACAAACCAAATTATTTTTTGTCTATATTTAAATATCACGTAACAAATTTATGATAAAAAAAAACCATTAACAATTTAAACATTGTCTGCATGCGAAACTACATAAAGACATATTTAATACTTCAGAAACTAAAATGAAATAAAACTTATATTTTCATATCCTATAGTGCAATTAACCCAAACAAAATGTATTTTCAGGTAATTAGAATGTAATTTGACGCAAAAACTATTTGGCGAAAATTATTTTGGAACACCTTGGAGCGTCACTCACTTGACTACTTAACAAGATTACAAACTTTTTTTTTGTTGTTAAATCTAGGTTACAATGTACATTCAAGCCTCAATTATACATACATGCATACAGGGCCACAGAAATCAAATGGTTTAGGTTCATATAATGCCTCTCTGCCAACTTCAACAATGTTCATTTGTTTACCATGGCAAAAACAATATTATCTCATAATCAAAATCACCTTACAAATACCGTAATGGGTCTTTTCTTGCTTACAAGCATACCCATAATAAGACACTACAAACTCAAAATCAAAATCAAAATCAAACTAGATATGCAGAGGGTATCTGCTACATCATCTCTTCTTTGCCTTCTTAAATGATTTCCCATTCTTACGACTTACATATCTATCAATATCTTCCTCACCATCATCATCGTCGCCCTTTCTTTTCTTCTTGCCTCCTGCTTCTTTCATTTTCTACAGAAGAGAAAGGAAATAATGAGGTTATAAAATGTATAATATGCAACCGAGACAATCACAATACAAACACGGAGAACGAGTAACATCTCATTCTCTTATTTACCAAAAAAAAACATCTCTCTCTCTTCAAGAGAAACCATAAAGGGAACTGTGTAACATAAGTATGGACTGCCAAGAACACGTATTTTTATTGCTGTACAGACATTGTCCACACACTTGCCTCTGCGATCAAAAAGACCGTATAGCATCATTATAGAATTGTAACTTAAAATTATTATCAACAATGGTTCATAAAGTTAAAAACTATATAAACCACAAATCATCCAACATGTCTGACAAGTTCTTCATGAATTAGTTTGGTTACATGATACCTCGGTGGGACAAGGGGGGGCCTTATTGTTTGATTTTTTATTTTTTTTTGAGGCAAAGGGGTGTATTCCAAATGAAGTAACGAAATGGGTGTGCCTTGATTGCCGCAAGAAAATTCCTCTTTTTTTATTAGAAAAGTGAGTAGTTTGACTACTTTTAAGTTGCTTGCATCAGTCCACTTCATATGTAACCAAGACCTCAGGAGAGGCTCCATAGAACTGCTGCAAGCGTTTCTTCAATCAGGATTCAGTAGCAGATTTTTCGATAATCTTAGAATGCAGGCAAATAACAAAGGTAAACACAACTACATTCTAATGTAATTTCATCAATTTCTAGAAAGGTTTACTATTATAATGGTCTATGTAACTGGTATAACATGGATTCTAAGAACCAAAATTTGTAACAGCAGCAATCTCCAGGTAATGGCTTCTCGTAACAATTTTTGCCAGCTCTAACAATTGTTCTACTTCTACTGTTATATATACGTATTCCTACAAGTGCAACAGCTTCTGATGCACAAAAATTCTAAATACCTTTACGATTGAGGTGATACTCTATAGAATAAAGTGTATTAGAGGACTATAATAAACTGCTAAAGAGTTCATATGACAATTAATATAGTTGACAAACCAGAGTCAATATATAATTAGCTAAACTGTCCACTACGGAGGAACAATTCATCAAGTAAAAATTACACCCACATGCAATACATGAAACCAACAACAGACAATCAAAGTAATATAGTAAAGTAACGAAGTTCTTACCATCTGGGATATCCTTTTTGCTTCGGTGGCGCGCTCCCACAGTAGCATTACTTCTTCTTCTTGGGCTGGAAACTCAGGTAACTTTTTCCCTGAACACAAATGTAAAATGTCAGCCTAACAAACACTTCCCTTTGGTTTAATCAACACCCCCATGAGTATCACGCATGCTGCCAACCTATAAGCTTCTCTATTTGTATATACCACTCCAACTCATACTGATTCACTAACGAGATTGCAACCCCAGATCGCCCCGCGCGAGCAGTTCTGCCCACTCTATGTATATAATCCTGCAAATCATTTCAGAAATGCAAATCGAGATATCATATTAAAATGATTCCCATAAAATTATTTCCTGACATAAAACTAGTAGCATCAATTTAAGGGACGTCTAGGTGCAAGATTTCTCATGTCTCTGAATAGGGATCAATAGGACACAAATTTTCTCCAATGTCTAAATGCCCAACTTCTTGCTAATCTAATGGCCTAGTAGAATAGGGTGGAAACATGTAGAGCATAATAATTTGGAAGCATGCATTCAATGCAGGAATTAGTTTATACAACACCAATACCTGTGAATTGTGATGAACTAGTAATGGATCAATTAAAAGTGATGACATCAGACTATATATTCTACACGAAAAAATCACTTAAAAATTAGAAGTTAATAAAAGGAAAAAATAATACTCCAGCTGTAAACAGAATATACACACTTGTTTAAGGGACGTCCCATTCTTGGTATGGGCACAAAAACGATGGGCAAATAAAAATATAACTCCAACTCTGAAGGGTAAAACATAGTAGAAGGGCAAGTCCTAATCTCCTAACTGCAACAAGAAAGGAGTAAGCAAATGCTCCATAAAGGGAGTAATGGGCTAGGTTTAAAGACCAGGTCTAGAAAGGCATATAGGCATTACGTAAAAAGGATGCTTAACCTTCGAGTTTGCAGGGATATCATAATTGATAACCATATCAACAGATGGAATATCAAGTCCTCTACTTGCAACGTCAGTGCAGATAAGAATATTACATTCTCCAGCCTTGAACTTGTTTAAGGCTCCAAGTCTTTTTGCCTGTCACACATATTTTACAGAAAATGAGGGCAAATTTGGATAAAATTTGAAGAGAAACACAGAAATCCATACCTGGCTCATTTGACCACTAATTGGGATGGCTCTTAAACCAAGGTTTCTAAGAATCAGAGCCAGAAGGCGAGTTGAATCGCACGTACGAGTAAAAACCATTGATGTACTTCCAGACATCTCCGTCAAAATATAAACAAGATAGCAATCCTGTAACCAGTGGCAGATTGCATTTATTGATCACATGTGGGATCCAAGGAATATATTAGCACGTTATCATCTTAACTATTTGGACAAAAAACAAAATATGGCTTATCCGGTAAATTTGGAAGGCATGAAAACTCAAGCATCCTAATAATGTTGCTGGCACAAAGGCATTACACCTCCAGCCACATGCCACAATTGAGGCACTTTTCAGATATTGTTGGCACTTCAGAGTTCATGTTACAATGCTTACCTTACATCTGTGATGGGCAGGGCACTCTCTCTCCTCCTCCTCCTTGATTGTTAGTGATGAGAATTAATCCTGTTACCCCACCCCATTAAANCTGAGGCACTTTTCAGATATTGTTGGCACTTTAGAGTTCATGTTACAATGCTTACCTTACATCTGTGATGGGCAGGGCACTCTCTCTCCTCCTCCTTGATTGTTAGTGATGAGAATTAATCCTGTTACCCCACCCCATTAAAGGAGTTTTGAATCCTAGAGCCCACTCCTTAGAAGCCCCACCTTTACAACTAGGCCAAAGCCACTGTTAACCCTACGTGTAGCACTATGCCAAGCAAATTTTAAGCTCTCTTCCCTTAACCATTCCACTATCCAAATTCTACTTGCTTTTTTCCTCTTTTTTTTTTTTTTTTTTTTCCATTATAACTGCATGTTAAAGTGGAAAAAGAAAGAAAGGGGAGCTTGAAGAAAGACCACTAGCATATGTACGAATTAACCTTAAACAGGGTCCTCATCACCCCATGCAAATACATAACTTCTTTTTCAAAAAGTTCATTAATTAAATATTGTTCAACCAGCAGTTCAACATAGCAGTAAGGAAAATCATACTGCTCCAATTACCTTAGCAACGTTTGAACTTCCTGGTAGACATTAGGGTCTTTTTTATTCTTTTTGAGAACAAAATATAATTAATAAATAAAATTAAGTAGTACATTATCCAAGCAAAGGCAGATTCTTCCAACCCAAAAACATACAAACATGGAAACAGTGCAAATCAGTACATAACCGTTATAATCACATTATAATGACAAAATGGGGAAGCCACCAGCCCATGCTGTAATATAGCATGAATAACATGCCAACATTTTGCTAAGAAGAATGAAAGAAATGTTTCTATTATTCCCTCTATTTTCATGTTAATTAATTGAGGAACTGCAATTTCTGTGAACAAGAAGTAAGACTTTGTGACATTTCATGTCTTGTAGCAATAATTGTACCTAATTATTGAACGATAACCACAGCCCCTTCCATAATATTTTACAACTACATCTCAAATTTACCTTATATTTATAATTTCATCATTGGTTCATTATCCAGCTGACTTTCTTTAACTGATTTGAAATATACAACCCATACANCTTGTAGCAATAATTGTACCTAATTATTGACCGATAACCACAGCCCCTTCCATAATATTTTACAACTACATCTCAAATTTACCTTATATTTATAATTTCATAATTGGTTCATTATCCAGCTGACTTTCTTTAACTGATTTGAAATATACAACCCATACAGACCAATGCAATTACTGAAACTTTTTACCCATAAATTTCCAAAAACATGACCCATTAATGTATCCATTATGCAATTCAGTCCACTCACATAAATGATATGCAATTTTGGTAGTCTGCATAATGTTAACCTTAAACGGAGGTGTGAAGTTATGACGAAATTCACACTTCCTTTAATGAATNCTGCAATTCAGTCCACTCACATAAATGATATGCAATTTTGGTAGTCTGCATAACGTTAACCTTAAACGGAGGTGTGAAGTTATGACGAAATTCACACTTCCTTTAATGAATGAAAGTTTGTTTCTATCCAAAAAAAAAAAAGTTATGACGAACTTCTGCACAAGTTATGAAAAAGGGGAAACCTTGTACTTAGCAGGAACAAATCGATACTGCTGCTTTAATGTATCAACAGTAGAATATTTAGATGAAGCTTCGATCTGAAAGAAGTTACAAGCTGACTTCAGTAAAAAAATTGAGGAAACCAATATGGGAATTCAGTAAGTATGTAATCATGCCTTCACAGGATTCTTCAGACAAGCCCTTTGGAGCTTCCGTACCTGCAATATTACAAGAGCAACATAATATACTCTCCCTTTCTGAAGAACCATTTTTTTTTGGTAACATATAAAAGTTCTAGTATCAAAATTACCGTAAAACAAATTGCTGGACTGATGCTGCATAATGAAAAAACTTCTTACTTACTTTTATTTTTATTTCTACTTTTTTAGGGAAAAGTGGCATCTTCTGATTTTCACTATGACATTCCTCCTAATATTCCCCAGATTTTATTCCATTCAAATGAAAAGTTTAACCTTAAGGCTTCCCAAGAAGAACTGACAAAAAGCTACAAACCAAGCTAGACGAAATGACGTATAACATGAATCTTGTGACGATCTTCCACATCTTATTCAAATTGTGTGCGATGGGGGCTGATATGGCCATCTATGTAGTCGTTCAGTAGTTAAGGTCCAAACTGAAGTGATGATCCCATGAAAGAAATAAAGGGTTGAACGTGGTGCACATAAGCAGGCTACATAGTATCACTCCTTCCTCACAGAAAGTGCTGTAATATATTAGAAAGATATTGCACAATTATAACATATCCGGAACAGCGGACTCTCCTCCTAGTAAGACTTCTACTTATATAGCCGACACAAGAGAGATTACATAGGAGGATATTCGTGTTCTAATCGACCAAGTAGATTCTAGGTGTGGTAAGTAATCAAGTGGGATTGGCAGGAACTACTGAGGGGTCAGGCAAGGTTTCAGTTGAAATTTTAAATCTGGGCAACCGATAAAAAGTTATACAACACTTGGTGAAAGGCTGTAAAAAGGATGGAAACCCAAGCAACTACTTCACTTATGTTCTGTTTTTGTTTTCTCGTTCAAAAATGTTCAATGCTGATACGGCGTGAGGATGGCCTTTATCATTTCATGGTCTCTCAAAAAAGAAAGGGATAGTTGTAAAAAATTTGCCCAAATAAAATCCTAATATTTACTATCGGAGGACTTCAATCCTATTTCTTTTTCTTTGAACAATCAAATTGTTTGACATAAGATAAGCTTGCTTTTCTTTATGTTTCTATTAATCGATCATTGAGTTCAAGGATCAAAATTTTGTTTCGAAATGTCTTAAACGTTTTCATTTCCAAGGAGACCAAAACAAATCAGTGATGAAATCAAAATTCTAATATTTCGAAGGTGTTCCATAATGTGTCGGAATGTTTTGTTATATTTTAATGCATTTGCACAATTGTTTAAGAATATTTTAAGGTATTTCAAGATCTTTTGATATATTTCAACCGATGTTTAAAAAAAATAATTCTTAATTTTTTTATTTTTTTCAATCTGTTTCCATACAAGTCGAAACGTTTCCAAAACACATTGAAACGTTTCTATTTATTAGGTGACTTAAACAATACACCGAAATAAAATTTTGATCCTTAATTGTGTCGGACGACTTGTCCACCTTTGATTTGGTTATCACCCTTGTATTGCCTTTTTGGTTTTTTATCAATAAAGTCTTGTTTCTTATCGAAAAAAGATTAGTGTATCCTATTTCTTCACCATGCTAGACACCTTCCTAGTCATAACATGTATGACTATGCTTAAATTTGATTTACTAACCATATCCACATCAACTCAACAAAGCTTCACCCTAAAGTGTCTTAACTTTTCTCAATCAACCATATATAAAGATGGTGAAAATATAATTGCCAAATCAACTCAACGAAGACTTGGATCTATGGAGTGTAAGGCATATGATTCCCTGCCCAACTAACTAATCTAGGAGCAATATTCACCAAAAGGGTGGCGGGATGGGGTATGATGGAGGACAATAGTAGATATAACAATCTAATAATGTATAAAACAACAAATTTCATAACATAAGGAGAGATCTTGACAAGTCTTCCCTCTCTATTTTCTAGTTTATTAGAATTATTAAACTATCAATTAAAGGTTTCCTCCTATCACATTCTACAATATGTCTCCTCTCTCCCACTAACTAACCACCATTCATTTAAAATTGCCTAAAAACAAATTTTATCACCCTAAAACTTTCAATAATTTTCTTACTGCCCAAGTGCTGTGGTGAAAGAGGGGAAAACGATGAAAAACAAAATAAAATAGGAGATGACCGATTGTAAATCACAGATTTGGGGCCACTAGTATATATATCTGGATTGGGCTAAGAAGTTCATTTCGACAGACTTCCAGATATTCACTTAAGGGGTACAAGATGCCATGACAGCACATGGGTATTTCAACCATGAAAGAACACAGAGTCCAAACGATTCAAATTTCCAAAAAATACATTTCCCTTCAATCTATTAGAGATTCCAATAGTCATAAAAGCAGAAAGTCCTATTTGCTGCATAAGAATCTCAGAATTAATAGGCAAAATATAACAGAGAAAAACCTTGACATGCAAAGTCCAAACAAGCTTGAATTCTGGAAACAAAAAAAACAAATGACAGAACTTTGAAAGTATCCAGGAACCGAATAATGATGAATTCTTAAAACAAGCTAACAAAATCAGAGAACAAGGATTGAAAACTAACGACAACATTGAACACATGGAAAGGGAATTAACTTTGTACCTTTTTTGTCATAGTAGCAGAAAACAAATAAGTTTTCCGTTCGCGAGGAATAACATTCAAAATTTCATCAATTGCTTTCTCAAAATCTTCATTCAGCAACCTATCGGCCTCATCTAATACCTGCCAAGGAAAGATGAATTAGATAAGGCTGCCATGAGAATTTCCTCTTTGCCTTTCCAATTGGTTCAATGCACCATAAACAAATTAGGTAAGGCTGCCAAGAGAATGTCCTCGTCCTTTGAATTCATGGGCTCTCCCCTTATGTGCTGTTAGAGGTTGAATATCAAGGACAAAACAGAATATAAAAAAACTGATACAGCAACGAGATTAGATAACCTTGCAAACAAGAAGTATTTCACCATGTGACAATACAACAGCAACATAGGGCTTTTAGCACAAAGATAAGTTCAAAACATCAAAACAAAACAACGTTAGTCATCATAAACAAAATATATCGGCATACCAAGTATTTTGCTGGCCGAAGAGAAAAACCTTTGGTATTGGACAGATGATCCACTAGGCGGCCAGGTGTTGCAACCTGAAATGAAGCAATAAAACAAGATGATTAACATTCTTCTGATAGTCAAACATATCTGCACATGAACAGGAATTCAACATAAATAAACAAAAATCTTTTGGACAGACCTGTATAGTTAAATATAACTCAAAGACCTTTTGCAATACTAATCATATCTAGGAGAGTTGGGGCAGAGGACTGCAGTGCAAGAATATCGCTCTTCCTGAAATTGTCCATGCTTCATAGGCTTTTCCTTTAGGTTTTCTTCCTAAATTGCTCACACAACCTTTTTTGGCTCTCAATAATAAACTAATTCATCATTAAATTATAGTTCAAACTTCAATACATAAAAGACGTTCCTGTATGCCATTTTTTATTGCTCCGGCAATTTTACATCCTTTAGGACGATCAAAGCAATAAACATCCCAGTCTACAATGGGAACAGAATGCAGTCCAACACAAAACTCGTAAGTATCAGTCTGGTCAGATTGATACCTAAAGTTACTATAGATATTCATTGAATTCTTTCAAAACAATATTCCACTTCAAATCTACATGAACATAGGATTTGGTAGCTAGCATTTTTATGATCAGGTACATCAATTAACTATGAAAAGATGATTCCCAACCTTCAGGCCTTGTATACTTCAGAAGATAAATTGAACACTTACAACTATGTGTGGCCGCTTTCCAAGGGCAATACCCTGTTGCACATGANACACCATACTTTCCCGCAGTTAACTATGAAAAGATGATTCCCAACCTTCAGGCCTTGTATACTTCAGAAGATAAATTGAACACTTACAACTATGTGTGGCCGCTTTCCAAGGGCAATACCCTGTTGCACATGATCTATGCCTCCAACAAGCTGCAAATTGTATAATACACTTATTAACATGGTCTTAAATTTGATGTATATTAAGAAAAGAATAAGGAAAAAGCACGAACACTTTTTTACAATACATTAAGTTGTAAAACACTAGACCTATGCATAAAACTAACCAAAAGGCCACGGAGTTTGGTCGACCTTCAAAGATCCATTTCTTTTTATGCTTATTTTCCAGTAAACTTAGATTTCCTCCCAATGGAGATATTTTTTATAACCTAAAAAAATAAACAATTTAGGCAATCCAATGTGTTTGACACATCTACTAGGTATCAATGATTACAGGTATCTATTCTCTATGCCATTTTGTTCAACAAAAATTGAAAAAATACAAAAATATTTCCAAAAAGAACAGCAATTGATGAGTTTAAGCCACACCCAGCAATTCGTTGTGTAATTCAAACTTCTGAAATCGGCATCTCATCTCAGCATGCTCACAGGAAAAGAAAATACAAAAGATCCAGTTCAGGTATAAGTGACACCGTTATGAAAGAACCTATTCCCACCACCCAATTTGCAAATAAAAAATAAATGGTCAAAGGAAAAGACAAACAATAAAAATAAAACATTTACAATCAACCATGGGAGGAATAAATGGGCGATGCTACTAAATAGTACTCAACAAAATATAATAAATACTAATATAGGTTTCAAGTTCCAGTCAAATTGAATTTTCGTTCAGGCACTCAAAATCCATCTTTCCCACTCTATAGATCAAATGCATAAACTAAAAATTCCAACCACAAAAACAACAAATTTTTCAGTCAAGTAATTTCGAACAATGAGCAGCAAGATATTCTAGATTTTTAGCGAGGAATTATTTTGTTAAATGGGAAAGTTAGTCACCCTTTTCTTTTCTGAACAAATCGAAGAACTTAATGGATCGACCTTGAACTCTGGGTGACTTGACAGCGAACCGCCCGGCGACAAAGTGGTTGGTAGATCCAATTCTTCTACTTATCTTTCCTATTTGTAGTTTTTCTTAGACGATTCTCCACCTAATTTAGACAATTTGCGCACAATGCTATTATTTTCCTTATTGTTTGTTTGTGCAATAAGAAGATACAAAGATAGATTGGTTCGTCTTCATGGTCAGGTGTCTATTGTTCTCGGTGTGCTCGATCCAAATTGATTTTGGTTTTTACTTTTTTCATTTAATAATAAAAAAGGGGAAAAGAAAAGAAAAAAATACACTACGTAGGGTGGAGAAAGAGTTTCCATAATTAAGGCTTATTGCGTGTGCAACGGGAGAAAAAGAGATCTTGGTCAAACACTAGTCCTTTTGAACCTTCCAGCCAGAGCCACGAAGCTAAAGACAGACTCTTTAGTCGCTTATTACTTAGTCCCAACCAAGCAAGGCAAATTCTAATACAGATGAAGAAGCAAGGCCTCTTTTAGATTGGCAGTCGGTAGATCGAGATTGCAAGTCAGTAGAAACAAAGTGCTTTCACCTTTTGTAGTAGATTCATCTAATCTCGTCTCCCTTTCTTCACTGATAAAGAAGCTTGGCTAGTTCTTTTTCTTCAAACATTCTGTTCATCCTTTTTTCTCATTCATAAGCTAAGCTTCAACGCCCCTAGTCAGTAGGCGAGGGCTAAAAGCTGAGTGGCCATTTTCATGTTTTTATTATCGCGAGTTTAATTTGTAACTTGTGTGTTAACAATTAAATAAAATGAACCCAAATAATTTCTACTTTGATATTCTTTGTACATACAACTGATAGCCAAAAGGTACTTTGATGAAACGAAAGCTCCATTAGCCAATCATAGTGCACAGGCAAAATTTATGATTATTTCATTTATTAATAATTGCTTTATGCGAAACTTAATATAGGCATTGTTATACATACTGTCTAAGGAATTTTTCATCCAAGAGAGCACCATTTAATGCAAGAAGTCACATTTTTAGAGGTTCCTACAAATTCAATGTTTCTCTGCCTCTTGCATTTGCACTAGAACTTCTGGTTGTGCTACAACACTTTTAAATGCTTGAAACCCAAAGTTCCAAAGTAGGAATCCCGAACTGGGACATTGACTTCGCATCTAAAGGCTGAAACCACCATAGTTCTTGATAAGAAATTTCAAATGCCACCGAAAAGACTCAACTAGATGTGGAGCCAGGTTTTATGTAGGCAAGAACTAACTGTAAGTCTGCGACTGCACCATAAAAAAAACTTCAAAGGCTACAAGATGTTGAATATGATTAGTATTAATTTAACATAAAGCTCACCACTGCGCATTTCACACCAATGCCAGATCCCAAAGCTTCAAATTGTTCAGCAATCTGAATCGCTAGCTCCCTTGAAGGGGGAAAACCAAGAAAGATATATGAAAACAACAAAATTTGAACAACTACTAATGAAGGAAATGTAAACAATTAAGTTCCTTCTCAAATCAAAATTAATAATAAGATAACACACCGTGTTGGAGAAAGCACACAGGCAAAGAATGCTTGTGGAGTCTCCAAAAGAGCTTGGAGTATGGGGATTGCAAAAGCCCCAGTTTTACCGGAACCTGTTTGTGCAAGCCCAATCAGGTCCTTCCCTGGAACACATAGTTGAATCAACAATAAAAATAAGAAACGAAATGGAGAATACCATTTTAAGGGTTGAAAGGAAAAAACATGAAAACAAGAAATCCACCAGAATTTAAAAGGAACAGATATCATCTATCACAGAAACATAAAGAAAAGCGAGCTTTTCCAAAAAGATAAAAATACAAATGAAAAATACCAGAATACATAAAATAGACTTAAAGGGGCTGAACCTTCCAGTGCATGAGGAATGGCTTCAGCTTGTATCTTGGATGGGTTTTTCCACCCCAAATTATCGCAAGCCTCCACCAATTGATCGCATACTCCGAGATCTTTAAAGGATTTGACTTCTTCGTTCACTTCCGCCATTCTTACCAATCAACCTATGAAAAGAAAAATTCTCAAGATACAAAAAAGTTCACTCAAATGATGAAATTTTGTGTCTTAGAAAACTCAAACAAAAACAAAACGTAGCACTAAACCAATATCCATCCTAAAACAAGAATATTCCCTAACCATATCCATGTCCAAACCATGTTATTATGTTAATATGCCAAACCTTTTCATATTGAGACACTCATCTGCAATGCACATAATAACTAGAAAATCAATACCAATTAAGCTTAAAACAACAACTATTCATCTCAGTTGATAATATCTTCATATGTCGGAAACTAGCATCACATAAAATATAAAGTTGAAGGTTTGATTTTCTTTTCCATTGCCTCACTTTTCTTAGCAACTAAGCTATTTTTAGGACCAGCAGATAGGATTTCAAGTTCAAAATTTCAATAATTTAACTCTGAATAGCTTATGCCCCGGTTGGATTGTCGTCCAAGATGTTTTAGCCTTAGAGAGAGAGAAAGACAAACAGATCGATAGATAAGGTGAAGCTTGAACGGTCATTGTATATTTTCTGCCTATAAGAAACAGAAATTCATCAATTAAAACGGAATATACAAACATGGTGGACAGGGTAAATCCAGCCATTAGTGCAAGAAAAGAAATCCATAAATTACAACAAAAATTAAAAACACATTATCCAACATTAAACACAATTTCATTCCAATGTTGATGGATAAAAATAAAGGAAATTCCCAAAATTCTTTAGTAATGAGAACCCATAATGAACTTGAACTTTCACTCTTTCCCAAAGAAAATACTGGAGCACATCTTTCCCATAAAAAAATCTACTATTCCTTTCCAACCAAACAATCTAAAGAGGGCCAAGTCAATGGAAGCACTTTTGTTGTTTCACAAACCTCCACAAAAAAAAAAGAAGGGAAACACAGCAAGAGCAAGGGAAAATTTAATACCCACTATTGGCTATTGTGAGTGCAGGGAAAAATTTTGGGACTCTAGAAAATATTCTGGAGGCAAATTCAATCCCCAATCCCATACCCCAAACCCCTAAATAGTAACAAAACATCCCAATTCAAACTAACACAAAACAAATAAAACAGTACCAGCAAAACAATGAACTATTGTAGAGAGAGAGCTACGAAGGAGAACATGGAGAAAGAAAGGAGCATGACAGAGAGAGAAGAGGGAGCACCTCAATGAGTTTGGTTGATGGGGCTGCGGGATGTTGAAATTGCGAGGAGAATATAGTAGAATTTGGTGGTTTTTCGGTGGCGGTGGCTGCTTTTGTGCGAGTGTGAAACTCTACGTGTGTTTGTGACAAGAAAAAGAAATCAAGAGATGACGCAAAATAGACGGTAAGCTGATTTTGTGTGAGTGTGGACTGCTGTGTGTGCGCGTTTGAGCTTTGTGTGAAGATCACGAGAGACAGAGAAAGAAGAAGCGCAGGAGACGAAGAAGATGATAGGGGGAGGGTTTCATCGGGTGTTGGCAGCGAGGTATGGTTGGGGTAGGCACTTGTGGGTGAGGGGATGGGGGGTTACGTCACTGATGGAGTTGATATAGTGGTTGGAGGCAGATGGGTGGGTATGATGGTCGACCAGTGCGATGGTGGCTTTGAGGAGGAATAGGGGTTGAGAAGGTGGTGGGTTATTTATAGGTGTAAGATTGTTTGGATAGGAATTGGGGCATTTCTACGGTTGGAATAAGTTTGTCCAATGTTAAAATTATTTGGGTTATTGGTAAGGATTAATTAGTCTTTTCAGTACTTTTATTTGTGCCGTTTGCAAATTGTCGTTGAGAGAGGGTAGTGTTAGTATAAATTATCATACCTGAGGGGTTTGTATGTATTAAGGGAAAATTTCAACCACACTCCCTGTAGTTTATCATATCTTCAATAACATCCCCTCTAATTTTTAAATCTTCAATGACACCCCTATTAGATTAAAAATATTAAGTAAAATCCAATTTTACTAAATTGTCCATGATATATTTGAGGAAAAACATCATCCACACCCCCTCTAGATAAACATATTTTCAATGAGACCCCATGTAAATAAGTATATTTTCAATAAAACCCCCTCTGTTTTCTAAATTTTTTTACGTAATTAAATTCAAATTGATTAAAATTCTATTCAAGTTAATTAAATTTTATTTTTTTGCATATTAAAATTTGTGCCATTTAAAAATTATATTTTTTTACGTATTAGAATTTGGACTAATTAAAATTTTGTTTGAGCCAATTAAAAATTATTTTTAATCGACTCAAATCAAATTTTAATTAATTCGCATTGAATTTTAATCAGCCTAAATTTTAATATATAAAAATATATGAATTTTAATTGACTTAAATTTTAATTGACACAAATTTTAAAAAGAAAAAAAATATAAATTATAATCGACTCAAAAGAGAATTTTAATCGGCCCTAACAACTCGGATAGAGTTCAAATCAGCTCAAATTTTAATATGCAAAAAAAAAAAATTACTAGGCTCAATTTGTTTTTTAAAATTTACTAATTATTAAATAAAAAATTAGTATTTACTAATAAATTATTTACTAAAATTGTTATTTGTGATTTTTTTTTTTTAATTTTAACAGTTTAAATTTTAATAAAATTTTATGTAAAAAAATTACTTGAGGTTATGTAGGGGCATTTTTTGTATTTTAGATGAGTTTATTTTGTTAGAAATAATAGTTTAATGGTAGGGGGTGTTAGTGATGTTTAAATTAAACTAGAAGGGATGTCATTGAAGATTCAAAAACTAGAGGGATATCTTTGAAGATATAGTAAACTAGAGGGGTTGTCATTGAAATTTTTGCTATTAATAATAAATTATCATACCCGTGTGCTTTCTCCAACACGGTGTGTTATCCGAAACATAATTTTGCTTTGAGAAGGAACTTGATTCAACTATATCTTTCTTGGTTCCCCCCTTCAAGGGAGCTGGCGATTCAGATTGCTGAACAAATTAAAGCTTTGGGATCTGGCATGGGTGTGAAATGCGCAGTGGTTAGCTTTATGTTAAATTAATACTAATCATATTCAACATCTTGTAGCCTCTGAAGTTTTTTTTATGTTGCAGTCGCAGACTTACAGTTAGTTCTTGCCTACATAAAACCTGGCTCCACATCTAGTTGTGAGTCTTTTCGGTGGCATTTGAAATTTCTTATCAAGAACTATGGTGGTTTCAGCCTTTAGATGCGAAGTCAATGTCCCAGTTCGGGATTCCTACTTTGGAACTTTGGGTTTCAAGCATTTAAAAGTGTTGTAGCACAACCAGAAGTTCTAGTGCAAATGCAAGAGGCAGAGAAACATTGAATTTGTAGGAACCTCTAAAAATGTGACTTCTTGCATTAAATGGTGCTCTCCTGGATGAAAAATTCCTTAGACAGTATGTATGACAATGCCTATATTTAAGTTTCGCATAAAGCAATTATTAATAAATGAAATAATCATAAATTTTGTCAGTGCGCTATGAATGGCTAATGGATCCTTCGTTTCATCGAAGTACCTTTTGGCTATCAGTTGTATGTACAAAGAATATCAAAGTAGAAATTATTTGGGTTCATTTTATTTAATTGTTAACACACAAACTCCAAATTAAACTCACGATAATAAAAACATGAAAAAAGCCACTCAGCTTTTAGCGCTCGCCTATTGACTAGGGGCGTTGAACCTCACCTCATGAACGAGAAAAAATGATGAACATAATGTCTAAAGAAAAAGAACTAGCCAAGTTTCTTCACAAGTGAAGAAAGGGAGATGAGACTAGACGAATCTACTACAAGAGTTGAAAACACTTTGTTGCTACTGACTTGCAATCTCGATCTACCGATTGTCAATCTAAAAGAGGCATTACTTCTTCATCTGTATTAGAATTTGCTTTGCTTGGTTAGGACTAAGTAATAAGCGACTAAAGAATATGTCTTTAGCTTTGAGGCTCTAGTTGGAAAGTCCAAAAGGACTAGTGTTTGACCACGATCTCTTCTTCTCCCGTTGCACACGCAATAAGNTAAATACTAATATAGGTTTCAAGTTCCAGTCAAATTGAATTTTCGTTCAGGCACTCAAAATCCAGCTTTCCCACTCTATAGATCAAATGCATAAACTAAAAATTCCAACCACAAAAACAACAAATTTTTCAGTCAAGTAATTTCGAACAATGAGCAGCAAGATATTCTAGATTTTTAGCGAGGAATTATTTTGTTAAATGGGAAAGTTAGTCACCCTTTTCTTTTCTGAACAAATCGAAGAACTTAATGGATCGACCTTGAACTCTGGGTGACTTGACAGCGAACCGCCCGGCGACAAAGTGGTTGGTAGATCCAATTCTTCTACTTATCTTTCCTATTTGTAGTTTTTCTTAGACGATTCTCCACCTAATTTAGACAATTTGCGCACAATGCTATTATTTTCCTTATTGTTTGTTTGTGCAATAAGAAGATACAAAGATAGATTGGTTCGTCTTCATGGTCAGGTGTCTATTGTTCTCGGTGTGCTCGATCCAAATTGATTTTGGTTTTTACTTTTTTCATTTAATAACAAAAAAGGGGGAAAGAAAAGAAAAAAATACACTACGTAGGGTGGAGAAAGAGTTTCCATAATTAAGGCTTATTGCGTGTGCAACGGGAGAAAAAGAGATCTTGGTCAAACACTAGTCCTTTTGAACCTTCCAGCCAGAGTCACGAAGCTAAAGACAGACTCTTTAGTCGCTTATTACTTAGTCCCAACCAAGCAAGGCAAATTCTAATACAGATGAAGAAGCAAGGCCTCTTTTAGATTGGCAGTCGGTAGATCGAGATTGCAAGTCAGTAGAAACAAAGTGCTTTCACCTTTTGTAGTAGATTCATCTAATCTCGTCTCCCTTTCTTCACTGATAAAGAAGCTTGGCTAGTTCTTTTTCTTCAAACATTCTGTTCATCCTTTTTTCTCATTCATAAGCTAAGCTTCAACGCCCCTAGTCAGTAGGCGAGGGCTAAAAGCTAAGTGGCCATTTTCATGTTTTTATTATCGCGAGTTTAATTTG